GCAGGAAATCTGACTGCCCAAAGTTAGGCTTTTACATGTGCATCAGCCTGGCTGTCAGAGCTGTCTTACACTTCCAGCTCCTATTAGCTTGTGTGTGATTTTGTGGAGGGTTAGCACTTTTGAAAAAATCAGGCCATGTATATTTAAGCCTGAAAAGACAGATTTAGAAAACTTTTAAGCAGCCAGATTCAGACCTTTTACCTTACCTAATAAAGAAATCAAACAGCAGCAGAAGCAGCTGCCCAAAGGGGAAGCAGCAAAGCCCTTCTCTCTGGAGAAGGACAATGACACAGGATACATCCATACAGAGACAGCCAAGTTCACTCTCCTGTGCCTCAAGAACAACAGATACAAACCAGCTCTTATCCAAAAGTGTATTCCCCTTACAGGCAATAAAATGTTAAGGACAGTCAGCTACCCACCCACTCAGGCTTCACACTGGCAGGACTACAGAATTTCAGCTGGCTCAGAATAAGGATGGGTGGTTGACTTGGGCATATTTTTCATTGCAAGGCTCAACCTTTGCCTTTCTTTACAAGAACAGCATTGTTTCTCATTTAGGAGCTAGATTTGTTTCCGCATACAGTCAACAGAATTGGAAGAGATAAATGTCCACGAAGAGACATATCAGAACTAAAGCAGCTTTCCTCTAACCTTTTGGCAAAAGATGATACTTGTTCAGGAAAACACTGTGTATGAAGTATTTTGCGTATCTTTGTTTATTCTGCCAAATGACATGGCAGCTTTTAGACAGCTTAATACCAGCTGAAATTGCTTATCTGCACACAGGGAATAAAAGTATGAAGTTAATACATTATTGGTCAATGAAATTATTAGATACTGCATTTTGTCCCTAATTCTGTCTTTTAAGGGGTAGCAATGCTTGAAGGACCAATGTATGCTGTTGGTGGCCATGATGGATGGAGTTACCTTAATACTGTAGAGAGATGGGACCCACAAGCCCGGCAGTGGAACTATGTTGCTAGCATGTCAACCCCTCGGAGCACCGTGGGGGTTGCAGCATTGAACAGCAAGTATGTCAACAGGAAAAACTCTCTTTTGGTTTTCATTTGCTTCCTTCCTTGAAAATACTGTTCCTTAAATTTTCTTTTCAATGTGATAGCAATTAATCACCTCAAGAAAACAAAGAGCGAATATAAAGCACAACAATAAGAAAGGAAAACTTTTCCTTTGTTGTGTGGTAAATTATTTTCAAACTTGCAGTTTTAAACATATTTTGAATTAAAGCAATTTGAAGATGTTACTAACACATAAAAAGTTTACCTGGAATATAACTTATGGGTATATAACATCAGCTACTTAAAAAAAAATACTCCAAGATCATGTTTACACTCTAAAAGCTCTGTGTCTAAGAAGCGCTATTTGAAAGAACATGGAGAGAAACAAAGTCATTCCTCTGTTATTTTACACTTTGGTTGTATAACTTTAACATACATGTTTCAGTCAAGAATACTTTTTAAAATGTTAAAGTTATATGGGGTGTTCAATGAAAGGAAGATGAGTTTAATGATTATGGATGGAATAAACAGCCTTTCACAAGTATTATCCTACCCAGAATTATTCTGCCCTTCATCTGTTGCTCAAATACACAGAGATAATGTGTTCACTGCACGTGTGGTTTTCCTATCAAGATTTTCAAAAACTTAGGTAAACATTCTTTAAGACACTAAAGCCACTCGAGCACTTTACATGGGAACAAGCCCTTGTATGAATTCACTGCGTAACCTGTAATGAACAGTGTGTTACACCTGTTCCTGTTTGAAAGTAGCTGTTTTTCAGCATTAGAAAGAACTACACATAAATCAATAATTAAGAGAATTATTTTATCCTTCTTCAGTAAGATAGCCTGGCGCTGCAAACACAAAAGCCTCCTAAAAGTCCCCACATTATGGTGAAGACTGTGGCTTGAACCAACTTTCCTTCTTATTGAAATCTGTGGAAAGCTCTCAGCAAGGACAGTTTGCAGACAGACATCTGCATTTAGCCTGAAACTTACCACTGGCTTCCCTGTTCACTTCTTAAATTTCAGTAAAAGAGAAGGATAAAGAGCAGAAATAAGGATGTCAGCAAACAGATATTTGCCAATGCAAAACTTCATATTCAAATCAGTGTTTTGCATTCAAACATGACATAATTTTAATCTTTAACTCAAAAATCCAAGAGAGGCAGGACAGCCTACTTAGGTCCCCGTTGTATCTCAGAGGAAATGTTCTCAGCATAAACTTCACTACAAACTCTGGTTGGTACCTTCCACAGCAACATACAGGAAACCACTTTGTCAAAGAGGAAATCCAGCCTGATCCTGCCTCTGTTCTCAGTCACTACTGACACAAACTGTCCGTGACCTGGCTTAAATCATGTCTGTTAGCCTAGTGATGTAATTTCTGGCATACCAGAGGAAGCTGGGATCAAACATCCACCACTCAGTGCTACTGCTGCTGTCTAACCAAGCAGAATGCTTCTCCTTCTCCTGTTTCCCTAAGTCACACGATATTTCTTTTCTACTCAACACCATCAGAAAAGACCAATGGTCTATTGAAAACATCAGTCAGTAATGGTATATTTTTTCTTTCCTTAGAGCGTGGGGAACACTACCATGTTTCTAGACACATTACAGAAAAAGCAAAAAATCTCAACCAATCTGTCTATACAGTGACTTCCTCTCTCTGGGAAAGCTGTGTAAACAAGTAGGCTGTACCTAATGGCATGATGTGAAAAGAAAACAAATCAAATTATCAAGTTTTTTTAAGGGTCTTCCATACACAAACATTAGAAGAGCAAAACAGGACTTTTGTATTATTCTAACTGTGGTTATTCTAACTGAATTTTCTAGTTAATTTTCTAGGAGGGACTTTTAATAAGGGCATGTAGAAATAGGACAAGAGGTAATGGCTTTAAACTGGAAGAGGGGAGGTTTAGGTTAGACATTAGGAAGAAATTCTTCCTTGTGAAGGCGGTGAGAACAGTTTTGTACAGAGAAGCTGTGGCTGCCCCATCCTTAAAAGTATTCAAGGCCAGGTTGGATGGGGCTTGGAGCAACCTGGTCTAGTGGAAGATGTTCCTGGATATGTGGGGGGGTAGAATTAGATGATCTTTAAGGTCCTTTCCAAGCCAAACTATTCTGTGATTCTGTGATTAACAGTTTAGGAAAATGCTTAGTGTGATACAAAGATGTCAAATACTCCAGAAACTTGTCATAGGGAACACTACCCATATGTTTCAAACATATGTAGCATCTTTCAATTAAATTCCATGCATAGTTCTTATTTAAAGAAGTTCATATGCATTTTCAAGCCTAAAGTTGAAACATGACTGCTTGACAATTTACACTGCATGTGAAGAATAGAACTTCCTTCACATAGCATGCAAAAACTTCTGTGCAAAGAAAGTTCTGGAGCAGAGCTGTCAGATAGCAAATAATGGACATAATGAGAAGTTTAAAGTGGTGTGGATTAAATTAACCTAAGAAGGTTCATTTTAAAATGAGAAACTAAAGACTGAAATGGTTTGCTTTCTTGTGGGTAATTATCCCAGACTCTATGCTGTTGGTGGACGAGATGGGAGCTCCTGCTTAAAATCAATGGAATGCTTTGATCCACACACAAACAAGTGGAGCATATGTGCTTCCATGTCCAAGAGAAGAGGTGGAGTTGGTGTTGCAACCTACAATGGGTTTTTATATGCTGTGGGAGGTCACGATGCACCTGCTTCCAACCACTGCTCTCGACTTTCCGACTGTGTAGAAAGGTAAGGAATTTGTTTTTCCCTTTTTTTTTTTGTTTTATTTTACATTCCAGGAAGGAAATATAAAATAATTTATAGCAGCAAGGGAAGTCTCTTCACAATTGGAATGTTATTCTTGTAATTCATATGATGTTTTTTCAAATAATAATTTGAGCAGAGTAACTGATTTGCAATGCTCCTGTGGTAACAAAAGAATTAAGCCTCAGAGCAAGCTCCTCCCAGCACCCCTTCTGTTTGAGCTGCCCAGGAGCCAGGTAAGGGCAACTTACCAAGTTAGATAAATTTAACCTGTGACTATTCTAGTTCTCAAGTGCCAAAACCCAGATTTGGGCTACTTGGGTCATATATTGTAGGAACTAAATACTTTTCAGTTATCTTCCTCCAGTAACTTAGCTGATATTGACCAAAAGATTAAAAATATAATGAATCTCACATACTCCCACAGGCAGTAGTTACTACACAGGTATTTTCTGATGGAGCAGACTGATGGAAAGAGCCTTGTTTCTTTAAGAAACTGTTTCTATAGGAGATCAGGCCACAACATATGCTAAGGGTGTGATTTTGCAAGCACAAAAACCTCAACCAAGCACGCACCAAAGCAACCTACTTTTGGTAGCACACAACTGTTAGCAGTGAAATCCTACGTTTTTTAAAAGGAAAACAGTGTTAATCTGATTTTAATCCCATATTTGCATTCTCCACTGATGAGCACAGTTCTTAAGAAAATGCAAATTCTGGACATTTTTTTTTTCAGAAACAGAGCTATTGTGTGTCAAATGCTGCTTTGCCACTGTGGTGGCATGTGGCACAACGTAAGAGGACAAGAGAACACTTGAGCCCTGGGTTAGAAGGGAACATAATGTCTGTCTAATGGGCTGTGGGTATTCAATGACACTCTTGTGTTATTTGTGGACAAGAAAGGCAAACTGTGCAAGGATTCAGCTCCCTGTGGTGAATAACAATGAATAAGTTCTCAGTTACGTGGTGTAAAGCTGGGACTACCTTCGAATTCACTTGAATTTTTATTGGAAATTGACTGAGCAAATATCAGAAAGAAAACCAACACTGATGTAAAATGTAAAATGCTGCCATGCATTTTGTGTTACAGATTTTATCAACTATATGCAATATTTATCTTCTTTTACAGTGACATCTTCTGAAAACATTAGTTCTGACAAGAAAGAGAAAATAATACACTGAAATTAACTCTGCTGAGTCAATTGGTGTCTGTGATATTATTCCCTCAGGCCTCTTTTACGCTCAAAATGTATTGATTGTTTAATCTGAAAAAAATTGAAAGACTGTAATCAAAAAGCATTCTTCCATGTGCTTGAAGACCCCTCTAGTGGCTAAATATTCGATCATGCTACTCACAATTCTGTATACTGGTTCATGGCGTAACTGGAATTAAAATACAGGAGAAGAGAAGCAAATACCAGTAATTTAAATTTCAACTGTGTTTCTACCATGTATTTTCTAATTCTAATTATAAAACATCCTAGGTATGATCCTAAAACAGATGCCTGGACAACAGTGGCCCCCTTGAGCGTGCCTCGGGATGCTGTCGGAATTTGTCCTCTGGGGGACAGACTATATGCTGTTGGGGGCTATGATGGCCACACCTACCTGGACACCGTGGAGTCCTACGATGCTCAAAATAATGAATGGACAGAGGTAATAGGAAGAACTATTTAATAAATAATAGGAATTCTTCCTGTGCATAGGGAGAATTCTGCCTGAATAATGGACAAACCAAGAATGAGTACGTTGCAAAATTATCACTGGTTTTGTGAAGAATGCAGTAATACTGTAGTTGGGCTTGTATAAAATGCTGTTTGCCTCTCCTGTGAAATAACCGTGGAACATTTTTCAGACTAAAGGGTAAAGGCAGTACACGGCAAGCAAACTGGGTTGCACAAATCAGTTTGGGCTTGAAGCACTTGAAAGGGCTGGGGTTGGGGCTGGTGTGCCTTGGTCAGCAGTGTCCTCTGCTGGGGGCACTGCCCAGTTCCCATAGTTCTCACCACCACCGAGATCGCGGGGAAATATTTAAAATCCTTTTGCAGTTACACAGTCCACATTTTTGGACTTCCAAAAGTTAAGAGCAACAACACCAGCCTACATTCCTGTAACTCAGCAGCCGCTAAAGTATTTTCCCAAGAAGCCAAAACTGTGTTTTCAGAGCCCTGGTTAAATATTATTTTTTTTTAGCAGAACATTAGTTTCAATAAACAAACTGCTTTCCCTTTACTAGGCAAGTAATTTCTTCTAGTCCTATCCAAAGCAGTCTAGTTAAACGATTTTTCCTTTTTATTCTACCCCCCCTCTTTTTTTTTTTTCTCTTTTTTTAGGAAGTTCCAGTCAATATAGGAAGGGCTGGAGCTTGTGTTGTTGTTGTGAAGCTGCCCTGATGACTACAAATACTGTGAAACTAAACTGAGTGGAGTTCCATGAAGACTGAGTCATGAAGATAAGAAACATTTCCGGAAAGCAGTACAGACTATACACATCTCAGCAGCCCACCAATATAGAGAATACGTATCTCTGAATCGTGATGCTATTAGAGCACAAAGTATCTTATCATTACAAAAATCAGAGAACTTTGCCTAAGTGAATTATTTTATTATGCCTAATACATAAAAACTCAATAATAAGTTTAAATGGATCTGGTTTGTTACAAAGTGTATCTGTTATTTATAAAATGCAGTAGTAAAGTGATAATGGGTGTATAAGATTTCATAAACTTTTCTATTTGGCAGTAATGCTAATGTTTATAAAAAAGAGCTTTTTTAAGTAAATGAAAATGAGTAAAAGAGAAACGCCTTCAACAGAGCTGCACAGAAGGAAATATTTGCCCATAACTATAGCTGACAATTAAATATTATTTGCAGGAGTAACTTCATTCCTATATCCAGAAATTAAATCACTAAATTAACTTTAAAATCAAATCAGAGAAGCATGGAATTTGATTGCTATTCAGCCTTCAGCACACTGTGACAGAACACCCATTTTCAGCAGTGTATTCAGTTGAATGGTGCAAGTTAAGAAATTGTGGGACTAAGGTAACTTTGTATTAGTAAATCAAGAGAAAGAAATCGCTGTTGTCAAAACACGATGCTAATATCATTTGCAATCATTTTCACAGTGCATAGATATGTGATACTTTAATGCTGATTTGTGTGTCAGGTTATTCATGTCTTTGCCCACTAACCATCTGTCAATATGTGTTAAACTAATTTGACTATTCTTGGGATAATCACCATGTATTAAATTTTAAAACAATCATATCATAACATTCCTTGAATATAACTCACAAAATGACATTTTTATATCATATTGATATGACAGTCTTTGACCTCAGCTGAAGATTACCAGCTTTCTCTCAAGTGCAGTAGAAATATGGTAAGAAAAAACCCACATCCACTGTGTAACTTTATATACCATTTATATAAGCATGTTAATGTTTATTTGAAATTAAGGGAATGCTAAGAATCAAGAGCAAACAGGAAAAGAATCACCTGAAAGCAGCACATAATATTCCAGATGCATGATATTTTTTGTGTGCCAATTTCTAATGAAGGTTTTGATTTGATTTGCATTATTTTTATTTTTTTTTTATAATTTAAAATGCTGAAAATGTATTTCACGAGGAAAAAAAAAAGAATGTATGTAAGATATTCTATGCTGTAAAGCACAATATTTGAACAGTATCTTCTTTAGTGTTTATGTTCTTGTTTTGTCAGTATCAGAAAAATTCAGGACAGAGATTAAAATTCTGAATGTGCAGAATAACATTCCTGATAGAATACTGTATTTTCAGAATTCAGCAATATGCTATTTTAGAAAATGTATAGTATTAATCCTATTGAGTGCTTCTAAAGATGAAATCTTGTAAGCATATTTATAAAAGGAAAAAAAAATTAACTTTAAAAATCAATTATGTTTATATATAGCATGTTACATTCAAATAAAATTTACTTTCTCTGCTAAGAAAATTCAGCTTGTATTTTAACAGCTTTGTGGTTTGTTTTGTTGGTTTTTTTTCATCTTTTCAATAACAGAAAAGACAGAAGCATTAATCACATATTTTAAAGAACAAAAACCCTGTCTTAGCGTCCTTACTGCATCTAGTCCACACAGCTAAACTTTACCTTCCCTCTAGCACTTCTTTTTTAGATAGAATTCAGCTTTTTTCTCTGAGTCAAAAAAGGTTACCAAGAGTGTTATGTCAGGATGCCCTACTAGCAAAGGGGCTCACACATCCCAATCTATTTTTGTGGAGGAAAAAAAAATACAAACAAAACTACAACAATCACAAAAACTCCTCCTACCAACCCAAAACAACTCAAAGACACAAGCAACTGGGGAGCAAACCCTAAACTAGCTAGTGGGTCACAGGTTAAAGGGGTCATATTAGACCAGGAAGGTATCAGGTAACAGACCCTGATAAACTGGCAGTACCAATGGGTCCCTCTTGCAGAGTATGGGATTTGAACTTTGCTTGGGGTTGAAATTTAGTCAGAGAAAGCATGAATGGGTCCTTAGCGAGTAAAGTGTTTCAAAAAGTATAAAACCATATCTAAAAACCTAATCAAGTCTACAGTAAGGCAAGGAAATGAAGATTTGTGCCCAGAAAAGGTCAGTTTGGAAGAACAAACTGTGGGTAAGTACCTTAACATGAACACAAGGACCAGCCTTTAAGAACCCCGTGGCTTGCAAATGTTACAACTGCAGAGACAACACAGAATTCCTTTGTTCCTGTTCTAGCTTGCAAATTCCATTAAAATTATATCAGCTTGGGAAATAATAGATTTAAATCATATGTAGGGACCTATTTCTGCATCTGCATCTCCCTCTCCTTGAGTGAAAACCAAAGCTTCAACCTCTAGCTGGAGAGGTGATACTGAGAGATCTGCTATTAAGGTTTCACGAAGAGAAGAAGAGATGAAATACACATTTCTTTGCACCAAGTACTTTTATGTGCAACTGTGCAGCTGGAAATCAGATTGTGCATAGGCTGGCAATCCTGTTTGGAACTGTTGATGGAAAGTTAATTTCAAGTTGTTAAGAACAAAAGCAGTATTACACACTGATATCCTGAATTAATTTCAAAATAATCTATTTTAGGATGAAATTCTGAGAAGAATTATGATATTAAATGCTTATGTACTAGAAAACATAAAAATAAAATGTGAACAGATAGTTGAATGTTATCAATAAAATGGCACAACCAAATTTTCTAGTTGCAGTTCCTCCATGTTTTCGGTACTGAAGCTCTAAGTGTTTTTCTTCGATAGTATTTATACAGCAGTGAAAAATCATGTGAAAAGACACCAGCAATTCGCAGAGGGAAACTGGACACCTAACAGGAAGACAGAAGAAAAGCAAACAGGAGAGAATTTGGAGATGTTTAGACATTATTAGGTGAGAAGAAATGCTAGAGATATTCCCCGATGAGGTGTCATCCCTTCACATTTCCTCTGTATCTCCAAACACGAGTAGGTGCAACAGCTACGTAGCATCTTTGCTTCTGAGGTCCCCTGACAGCTGCACGCAGAGTTGGCTGGCTTGCAGAGTGAGAGGGAGCCATCCCTTACCTCTGACCTTCCACTGCTCTCTGCTTTTTCTCCTGACTCTCACTGGCTGAATGATTATTATTTGTGCTATTTCTTTTTTGTACAAACAACCGTGTTTTCCTTCTAAGCCCTGGCCCTTGAATCACCTTTTTCCTCTTCGGACTGGGTTATAATCTCTGCAGTAACTGGCCCAGCAATGTATGGGAAGCAACTTACCCCATGAAATCAATTCTGGGAAAAACTGAAGGTTCAGTTTAACCACTATCATGTCTGTCTACCAGTGGGACACACTCAGGCAGAGAACTTAAGAACTAACTAGCCCAGAAAAATCCCCTCCATTGCTTCAGCCATGCTACTTTCAGAAGTGTAGCTGCATTACTGGAGGACTCACGATAACACACTGCCAGGGAAGGAAAGCAGTGCTGTAACTATTAACAGCTGCCACAGAAAAAAAAATATTTCCCTGATGTCATGGTAGGAAAATGCATTAAGCAAAGTAGTGAGGTCCTATTATCTCAATGCCCAAGCTAGGTCATAGGCTAGTCTCTTTGGAGCAGTATCTCCACTAAGCCAACAAGATTCATGGGAATTCAAAGCTTGTTCAAGCTACCTAGTCAACTAGCTCATGCTACCACTTTTTTCTGCCTTCTTGGTTGAGGAACTTACAAGAATAGATTTTCTACGTATGTGCTGAGTTGGTTTCAGAGTGAAAATCAATGTTTTACTGTGAAAGGAGACAACTGGTTGCACATGCTTGCAAGGAAGAGGCAGAGTGATTTCCTTGAAGAGAATGAATAAAGACATCATCTGAGGCTAATCCTATCTCTTTCTACATGTGTATTTGTGGACATGGTTATCACATGATGTAATTATTTTGCTTCCCACCTGACCCTAGACTGTTTCAGAGATGGGGTGAATGATGCTCAGTACATGCTACATCCTGGGCTTCAGTATCTGACTCCCCAAAAGCAAAACCCTGCACTGAAATTAGCTCACTTTCTCTGACCCTGGACATAATGAAAACTTCATGCTGAATAAATTGCAATGAATTTAATTGTACATTTCAGTCTGGGTCCTTCCCATGGGAAATTTCATTCTATTGATTAGAATTAATTTCTGGAGAGACCAAACTGAACTTCTGTAACAGTTACCACTGACATAGTATTTCTAAAAGGCTGTAGGCTAAGAGTACCTACACTTGATACTGGAGCCTACCTCTTCTTCCCTACCTCCTTCTACATGGGAAGGGGAGAGATTTTATCGG